AAATTCAAAATTAGATTAATCTTCGACTTTTATTTTAAAACGAACAAGCGAATAAAAGCAAAAGATAAATGCGAGCATCACAATAATGCGATACAATAATGTTATAGAATTACGAATCTGGGTGTCACAATTTGTGTTTTTTCATTGAAACAACCGATACAAAAGAACTTTTTACACCTACTGCAGCGCGTATTAACCCTTTTTGTTTTCTGAGCAGCCGCAAGGGGTCCCTGTTCCTTAGACAGAGTTGCATAACATTCTGAACACCATGCAATGATGTAATCATGCGCTTTCCGGCTTTCCACGCATATCAGTTGAATCGCAGTGCACTCCCTTCTCCCTATTCCCGAACTGGCTCAGTTCCTACTTTAGCACTGATGTCATCACTATTTCGCTGAGAGGGTGCAGACAAGCAGCGCATATCTTCGTTGAAATCTCTTCTCCCCTGTTACTATTGTACCCTGTTTTTGCTACTTTCCAGTTTTCACTTCCAAAAAACGCACCTCGTGGGACAAGTCAAATCACGCCCGCCAAATTGATCATGTCCCATGCGGCGGAAAAAGCCAAAATCCGCGCTGTCGTCAACGTCTTAATCCTTACAATTAGATCCGCTTGGGATTGGTTTTCGTCCTCCACTTGCCATCGTCCCCACTCCCCCTCCACTTCCCTCCAGCTACCACTGCAGCACCATGTGGAATGACCGGAAATGTGCTCAGTAGGTGTTTATATAGCCGTCGGGGTGTTATCAGTTATCCCATTGAAACATGATAGCTCAAGTCCTGCAAGCTACCCGATTGTTTAGCGGCTTGTATTACCATTAGCTCCCTTATCACTCACTTCATTTTGCGGACGGACAGACATATACTCGATATCCGAAAGTTGGGGTAGGCGTGTCACCGGAAGTGACGTGCACTTGATAGAAGCTATGTGGATAAGCTGCTTCCAACATACATCGCTGGATATCAGCAAAGCATGCTGGCAACAGCTTATCCACGCAACTTCTATCACTTCCGGTGACACACCTACCCCAACTTTCGGATATCGACTGTACATTCAAACCGACACACCTAGTCAGTGGTTTATATAATAGAAGGATTGAGTTGAGCGAAACTTACCGCCGTTTTTACGCTTATGGCTCTTTGATTTTTTGCTGATTATTTTCAAAGATTATGATGTAGTCTGAAAGCGCGCAATCTCTTGTACATTTTGATGTACAACACTTGTGTATTTGCTTCACTCTGGAGCTTACACGCGTGCAAAAAGAAAGATTGCCGATTGGTCATAAGTGCAAGTTGAGCTCGAAACGGAAAGCTTCTGCATCTGCTCGTAGTACAATCAATGAAAAGGCTGTTTGCTGATTACTGATTTATTGTTGCCTTTGTATGGTTTGTTAGTAAACTTATGAGTGAAATGAAAACGGCGGTTGAATTTCGCTCAACCTGATATCATTCTCTCCAGCTAACTTAGACTTTTCGAAAGAATAAGTGCTTGGTTTACGGGCACTTATAACAAACATCATGACACAGATCTGGTCTCAGGAAGCAAGGAAGTTGTTGCATCATTTTAATTAAGAGGATAATGATTTTGAATGACATATGAGTTTAAATTTGAGTTGATAAGACATATGAAGTTTGAAGACCTTTACGTTCCCGTACTGTTCTACATAGCAATTTGCCTTCTCATTGTACTGCGTTATCCAGTCATCATCCCACCATTGCCGATAATTTCCATCACCATCAAATTTTCGACCTTAATTATCAATGTTTCTCGCATGGTGTTCTTGAGCAAGGGGAAGAAACGGTTGACATTATATAAGCATTATAAGGAACGATTTAGTCCCGATAGGTTCGAAGGCATACTCCGAATTTAACTCTATGCTTGTGCTGCTCCAAAGCGAAATCAAAAATCTGAAGTGGGCCATCAGCGTGACGCTGAAATCAGGAGTCTCTCCTACTTATGAGGTCGGTCCCTGGCGGTACGACAGGGAAACACAGCGCGCAGAAGAGAATACGTGAGAGAGCAGTCCGAGTTCGAGAGGACGAAGGCATCTTGGTATTCATACGTATTGGTATTCAGAAGCATACGAAAGCATTCTGGCTAAGTGCTTGTTGCCACCTTTGAGCTCTACAAACTGCACGAACCCTAGGCTTGGAAATCCTAATACTGGATTCAAAGAAAGGATTATTCCAATAATTTCGCACGTTTGCTTACAAAAGACGGATTAGACGCCTCGGTGAGAATCCATATTGAGGGGGTCGCTCTTTGATATCATATCCTTGGTCCTAGAGAGCACTCCTTCGGGCTTTCCAAGGCTGAGGATAAAATAACATGTGAATAACTCATTTGAAGTGCACTTTTGATAAAGACTCGAGTACGTCCCACGCTTCGAACTTCCCCTGTACACACCCTACAGCTTTCTACACCAGCCATCGACCCTGGAACTCCTCTGCGCTCACTAGGGAAGGATGAAGGGTCGAAGTGGCCATATGAAATGAGACAAGTATCATGGTATGTGGTTTCGGACGCTGATCTCGAATCTTCTTCCCAAATCTGCCAAACGATTCGCTGAACGGAGTTTTCGTTCCCTCACACAGTTCAAGTGGGAATCGGCCTCAGCAGCAGCGGCTTGTGAACGAAGCAGTGATCCTCTTTGATCGGGTGCTGGTGGCCTAGTGGTTAAGGTGGTGGGCTTGGGATTTCGGGGTCAGTGGTTCGGATCCGCCGCGTGTTTTTCCTTTGCATTTTTGTGACTGACTATTTGGCAGTAGTGAAACATGATTCCTTCATCATTGGTCAGCCCTACTTGCTTTTGGATGAGTTTGAGGTCGATAACTTCGAAATTTTTCCTAACTTGCATGCCACTACATAGGTTAAGGCGCGCCAGTATACGGAGCGCGCGCTTCAGCCGTTTTTGAGTAAACGAATGTGAGATCTGTGTTCAAGTAGTCCAATAACTCCTGGGGCCAATTTCTAGGAAAATTCGAGATTTTGAATTAACTTCAAAAAAAGTGGGCGAGTCACTCATTGATGCTACATATCCATAGCCGGTAGTTCCGGGGTTGACCCCTTAATTTGAAAAATAATAAAGTGTGGGTGTTGAAATCATGCGAACAGAAAACCAGACACTGCTTTACACTCTTCAGAAACCAAAAAAACTTATATCGTCTCAAGGCTATATAGGCTTCGATGATAGGCTGATGGATGAATGGATAGATACCCACCCAGAAATTTGGTCGAAATCTCAAATTTGGCTACAAACTTGTCCCTAGGGGTATTTTAATCTCCGGAACACGAATATCACACTTGTTTGCTGCAAAAACGTCTGCCAAGAGTTCTGTGGGCTCCATGTGCAGTCTTTAGTAAGTACCGCCGAAACTGATTAGAAACTCCTCGCAAAGTCTTTGCACGGGTAACTACAGGCAAGCATTGATCGAGTAAGGTAGTTGGGAGCCTTTTTCAATCATTTTGCAGCGAAGGCAAAAAAGAGAACCCGCCAGGGAATCGATCCTACGACGTCTCGCACGTGAACCCGGACTACTACCGCTGCACTACTTTCCTTCATAACTCCATTCGGAAAATCGTTTGGCAGATTTGGAAAGCAGATTCGAGATCAGCGTCCAAAAACGCATCCACCGGTGTAGGTCTCTTTACATATGGCCACTTCGACCAACCATCCGTTCCTGGTCAGGCCGAAGCAAAGCTCTCCATTTCCCTGGTTCAGGACCGTTTTCTTGGACCACTACAGACCGATTGTAGAAGCACCTCAGGAGTACTTTGACAGTATACGGATACCTATCGGAGTTACACTTCAAATGTCCTATTACATGTCACGAGCGCTTTTATGCTTATCATACAATTAGAAGCACAATGGAATGCTTCCCCCCTACTGGATTTTCACCGACGCTTCTTATGTTGAAAGCGCTATTCTTCGAGGTCCTGTTCTCAATTGTAGAACTGGTTCCACGTGTACGTAGAGAGGGAACCCCGCCACGTAATTTTGAATTTTTTACACATCGGTTTTGCTTCGCTCGATGCTGCGCATAGATTTCGGTGAATTGGGCACTCTGCCGAATTTGTTCCACGACTAACGCACACCATTTTCTTTTCCTATTCCTTTCAATTGTCATCCCTCACTGCTTTTGTAGCCAATGAAAACATTGTTATAGCCGGACGCCTGTATTAAAGACAAGCGCCGGGTTTAGCCTCGCCGAAGTATCCTAGACAGAGGTATGTGGTCCACCACTGCAGAGGTCGCGCCACCCGAAGGTGTCGAAAAGCGTTCCTTACACGCTAGGAGCTAAGGAATTCTATCAGACTCCACTAAACCTTACACGGTCCGCCCACCGTTCCATCTGCGTCGTTGTGTCGCTACCTCTTCTCGGACTTCCCTTACGCCCTCCGCGCTCACATTATCTCTCATCTCCCTGCCGGCCTTTTGAACTTCTCCGCAGCGTAGAGCAAAAGGCTCGTATTTCCTGTGTATTTCACGATTTCCTTTCCTTTTTTTCCACTGCGGTCCACCTCCCTCCTTTCATATTTGAGTGGTATTACCACATCAATTTGATCCTGCCTCCAAATGGTGTGCATGTTGAAGTGAGCTTGCAGCAGGGAAGTAAAGGCAACTCCCGGTTTAGCCCGACTAGTAGGATAGATACCACGATGGGAATTCAGGGGTACGTACCTTTATAGATCATGCCAGCTTCGTTGCCAAATTGCGCGATTAGGGCGCTAATCCATTACGAACCTGCATCCCTCGCTGCAACGCTTCCCACCCACCGCTATTGATAAAGGGATCAGTGTGCTCTTCCGAACGACGTGCTCTCTCGCGTGTTCCATCGCACAACATCCGACGTTAAAGTAGGCGGCTGAAGCAATCTCCCCTTTCGCGTTTCCGATAATATCTCTTTTCCTCATTTCCACTATCAGTTCATTCCACAACTCAGTCATCACTAGGTGCACCATTTTTATTCCGAAGCTTGCCTTCAAACACTGGAAGAAGCCGAAGGCAGACAGTGCGTTGACTACTTCACAGTTATTCCACTGACTTGAATGTTGATATGCGGCTGCACTGATGCTTGCTTTCTCCCCTTACCCGCAAAATCGCTCTAGAAACCGGAAATGAGACTCCTTTTGGCAATTGGTTTCCGCTTTGGACGAGCCAGCGACCGAGACGAGCTCTTTGATGTGTTAATCCGATAGTTGTATCGTGCTAATAATTATCATCGGTTGAATGGTAAATTTCTATAAATATTGAATACATGCTTGGAATGACGTTGCTCACAAAACGAAAACCTAGCGATTGTGATAACAGCAGGAGCATCCGACAGTTCGCAGCCAATGAAGGGCGAGAAGTGACATGAGCGGCGCGTTAACGGTACTCCAAAGCAGCTAAGGACGTACCCTTGACCGCGAAGTCCACATCGTCCTCAACCCTGAGGGTACCCGCCTTCTCACTGACAATAGGTACATAGACTATGAGTGTCTGCCTCAACAAGTATAGGCTACGCGCAAATCCGTTAATTTACATTAGATTCATCTTCGGTTCGATCTTTCCAGACATGTGCGCGAAATAGTCCTGATCTACTCTATATCTATGTTCGACAAAGGATGTATGCGGCCATAGATTGAGAAGCAGACATAAAATGATGTATTATATACAAAGTACTTGTTATCACCGTTTGTATCGAGGCTGTGAGAGATTTCATGACCAATAACGTCACCCAAACTGCCGTACAGAAAAGACCTGCAAAAACGTATTTTACATGGCAGCGGACAACCCATTTATTAACGATCTTTCTAGCTCCATTCTTATGTTGGTTCATCTTATTCCATATTTCACATTGCACATAATCCATAGGCTTAGCTCCGCTCGCTACCGAGCACGTGTCAGAGCATGATTCAGTAAGAATGAGCATAGCTGGGCTCTTGTTTCAAGTAGTTTCGAGTGACTGCTTTGTCACGAATTTCGTTAATTACAAAGCCTTGGAAACATGCTGCATCCAGTGGTTTCGTTCTCTACGAAAAAAGGTGATAGAGCAGTCATCTTGCGCTGTTTGCCGATACCTATGAACATCCATCTGTTTGGAAATCGACATAGCGGCCGAATAAGCTTTGGATAACTACTACAATTACTCGAGCTGCTTACTCAGCCCTTAGCGTTAACAACTGCCATGTTTGGCAATGGGAAGATTTAGCGGTTGAATAAGTTTTTAAGGCGGCGACACTTTAATGGAAACACCAATTCCCAGTTTTTCAAACGGCCGACCTTCTTAAGGAGCTCGGTTAGATTAGCGATCGAACGGAGCTCAAATCTGACCGGTGAAATGGAGCCTTCTCCTCATCGCGCATGTGGGTAGCTAGGTAAGTGACTCCTCCATTCTCCTACAGCCTCCACGAGACGCTCTCACTTACAAACACTCACCGTCAACGTCTCGTCCCAGCCCACATAACACTTACAAGGTAGCTGGAAGTATGGTCTGCAAGTTTGAGCAGTGAATTGGTGAGCCATAGGTTCCTTTTTCAGCTACGTAGCATATGCATGCCTTGAATAAACATGTCAACCATGATGCTCCCTCCAAAATATCGCGGTCGTCGAGTCAACCTTTTAAAAGGAGTAAGACATTATCCTCATCCAGCAACCATTGCGCACCTCGTGGACCGGATATGTTCCGCCGCGGAGATCGCAAGAAGATTGCTTCTCGACGAGAAGGCAGTACAGCACAACTCAAGGATTGAGCCCATCATCTACCGAAAAAAAATCTGCCAAAAATGAGCCGATCGCGAGCTATCAATGTTTCGCGTATTTGAAATACGATCAAATGAATTCATTGCAACAACGAGATCATTTCAACGAAATCGCTTCAGGTCCAAACTAGCATACAAACTATCATTAAACAAAACAGTTATCGCTCTGTACAGTTATTGATCATTCGAGACCGGCGTTAACCGAAACTTGAAACAAGAACACTCTAAAATGTGCAAGAAACCGCCCTTAGCAGTTCATGCGGGCCACCTTTGTGAAATCATGTAGACCGGCGAGAAAATCACTGCCGAAGTCTCACAACAGCCAGATTTATCATTAGCCGCTTTCTCCGACATAGAAAAAACTCCCATGAATATAAATCGTCTACCAAAGTGAGTGACGCTTTGGCTCAAGATTGCAACTGCAGTTAAAACAACTTGTTTTCCGATGTGCCAGAATCTTACTCTGGGAGACATTCTGTTGCCGTGAGTTCGAAAACACTTTGCTGGACGTAAGTTGCATAGCAGCAGGACTGGACATCAGTCCATTCTTTCAAAATTCATTCTGCCTGCGTATCTGGCAATCAAACTGTACGGGTGGCGAAAAATTACGTGCGCCATAAAACACGTTCCAACTTTATTTTTTGTGCACAAAAATTTGAAAGCAATTGATTTTATAAAACATCGAACCTTGACATTTTATAACTGCAAAAAAGATTTGGAGTAGCTGCCATCAGTTTTGATACAGGCCTCAATTTGTTTCTTCAGCGAGTCGATGGTGCGGCGGAGGTGTTCACGCATATTTCATTCCAAATTTTAGGCAGTTCTTTTCAGAATCACCAAACTTTTTGCACTTCGATTCTTAGTAGTTTTTCAATGAAACCCCAAAGAGAGAAGTCTAATGAATCCGAATTCGGACTGTAAGCAGATCACGAATCCGTCGCCACAAAACAGCCGATACTGGTCTCGAAGAAGTGGATCAATGCATTGGTCCATGGGCCCGAGCGCATTCCTGTAGAAAGACAGAATTGTTATGATTCTACTTCCAGAAGCAACAGTCTCAAGGGTCCCTTCTTGATAGACCTTTCCATTGATTTCCGCGCTTTTATCAGTAAAAACCTGTGGAGGCCCCATAAGCACCATCCTCAAATCATCAAATTTCCAGGGAACAAAATTCTTGTGGGTACTTTTCATTTACGGATGTTACTAAGAGCTGTTAGAAAAGTTAAAGGTGATTCTGAGAGTTTTAAGGCACACAAACGGTAAACTTTCGTTTGTGAAACCACAAGGCATCCTAGGACCGCCGCACCTCAGAAAAATCCCGCAACTTCTTATATTTTTCCTTCCGATCTTGCTTTGCTTGAAGGTGGGAAACTGCCCGTTTGATATGTGATAGTCCATTCCGCGCTTTATTTTTGGTGTCATCTGAACAAATTTTCGGGAAGTTTGGTTCTGTCCGGACTCTTATTCAAGCCCAGGTCGTCTTTTTGGTCATTTCACTTTTTAATAATTCTCCTCACACATCGGGTGTTGGTAGTCCGTTCTCCTTCTCTTGCTACTTCAGTTTAGGGATGCTTCCTCTTTAGAATGCTTTCACTTTTTGTGACGGTTTGTAGAAAAACTGTGTGCCTCGAAGAAATCATTTAGCTCTCAGTCCAGCTGTATGCTTTCCGCGCAATCGCATTCCAACTTGAACAGGTCTTTGTCAGAAACTTGGAAAACTTTCTTCTTTTGCAAACCAATAACTAGCAATAGACAAACAGTTTGAAAAGTTGAAGCACCCATAAATTCCTCATACAATGTTCGGAACGAAGCGAAATGTCGCGCGCACATAATTTTTCGCCACCCTGTATACATTTGAATCCGGTGGACTATTTTGTGTCAAGTTATCTGTGGTAGAAAGCCTCTTTTTAAAACCCGTGCAATTTAACAGGGCTTAAGACAGCGCTCCATATAGTAGGATAAGATAGAGGTCAATAACTTTTTATCCACAGTAGAAGAGTTCACCATGAGATTGGAAACTTGTAAACTGGCTCTATTCGAAGTACGCTTCACACAATTATTCGTGTACATGTTGAATATCGACTATCGTCTTATTGAGAAATGTATCAGCTATATTTTTCATGATCGATTGATCACCGAACCATATGTTTCAGCTATCCCTTATAAGCAGGGACGCTCTAATGTTAGCACTAGCCGCAGAACAAAATTGACAATACTTACTTTCTAGGCCCCATCATCAATCCAATCATGCTATCAATCGTTACTAGTTCCCATCACCCACCATCCACCAATATGTCTGCGCCCGTCCTCTATAATATATTTGAGAACGAACGCACCATTGTGGCTGCGACGCGCGCCGCGAACTTCCAGTAACACACACAAACACACACTCATACTCTGCCCACAGTCCAGTAGGATCATCACGAATACATGATTGTGCAAGACATTTGCTTGAACGGAAGTGGTGTGTCAGCAAAAGACGTTGCTCACCATGAGCACGATACGAGGGAACCTTCTCACCGGCATCGTCTGTACAGTCCATATCTTGAAGTCAGATTAGGCGTGTCTACGGATTTGACGTGGCCCTTGCCGCATTTGATAGAAGCCGTGTGGATAGCTGTTTCTAACATACTCCGCTGGATATCAGCAAAGCATGCTGGAAGCAGCTTATCCCTGCAATTCTACCAAGTACGGTGAACGCCAAGTCAAACCCATAGCAAAGAAAAGAATCAAACAAGAATCTAACCTCAGCACCCAGCCGATGGGCTACCGTAACCCTGACGTGACATGCGCGCCCGCCGCAACCGCACACTTCGTATTCAGCTCGACGTCTCCTCATAGGATTTTGTAACGGCAAACACCGAATGATGTGTTTTGTATTCCGCCGCGCGGTACCCTTATCTGAAATCCCCGTTCCGGTTCATCGTTAGATTCTAACAGGTCGTATCGCACACTTATCGTCAGATTTAATCCTTATATCGCTATTCTCGAGAAGAATTCAGTGAGTTTGTATACATTCAATTGGTGACTGCTGAACGATTGGTTCGTGAAGTTGATCCGTAATATCTTTATCACTTTCGGAACATACAGTCTCCCGCGATATAGTCGTTAACCGTATATTGTGCTGTTTGTCATCTCGACGGCGTTCATTTTTATAAACTAAATGGGGATTAGTGCCATTCCGTCGCAAAGTTAATGGAAAGGGCCAATCCATAGGTGTTATTTCGCAATTTTCTTTTATAGGTTTCGTTCATGCCATCGTTCCAGTTTCTTCCCAAATGAGGATAGCTGCATTATATATATTTATCGATTATAATTTGCTTTCATTACGTCTAGGCCGTCTTTTGGCGCGCGTTTACATTGGTTCTTTTGGCGCGTGTTTTCTTGTTTCTTTTGGCGCGCGTTCACGTAGGTTTTTTGGCGCCCGTTTTCACTTTTGGTTCCCTTTTACACGCGCTTTCATCTTTCATCGGGTTGCATTTCGTTAGTTTCTGTTTGCGCGCGTTGTTATGGGATTTAGGCTCGTCTTTCGTATAGTATCGTATTCAGTAATTTGAACCGGGAAAGGTTCTGACGTGAAGCGCTTTTTTGAAACGTTTTTTTCTTGTTATAGGGGGTGTGCGTGGAGCATGAAACTGATGAAAAAATTTTCCGAGCGAATATCAGAAAAGCGGGCAGAAAAGTCTTGAGAAATGAAACTTTACATATTAGTATACTTTATTGCATCAAACAATTGCATATCAGGTTTTTGTTGACTGAATGAGATTAGAAGTATGCGAGCGCAAGCAAATGGAAATTAGAAAAGTGCAAAAATTTGTCTTCAGCGGGCAATCTCAAGCCATTGTTTCCGATTATTTGTTAGCATTCCCAGAACCGATCAGAAAACTGATCCTTAGTTCTACGCTCTACGCTCGTGCCCCTGTAATAAGCAAAATGCCGCTCAAAAAAGCGCTCAGTGTCCCGAAAAACTTCTCAGGCCTTCAGTGCAAAACAGTGTTAGCAAACATCTGACACAATATGTCGACTTGCGTACTCGAACCATTCTCTTTGCTATTAAATTCTCAATGTTTGGATTATTTTTTTGTTCATTCAAATGCTTCTCTAGATTCGCACCGGGTGTGCACCTTGAGTCAATCGTGACCTTACACCCCGTTGTCATTATCTTGCACCTCACCTCTCTTGTCAATGGGTAGACTCTCTTAAATGGGCTGCGCTGACTACTGCATTTTAATCCTACAGATCTGCTTCATTACTTTTGATAAAGTTATTCAGATATAGTTATTACAATCACGTGTAGAACTAAACGAAAAAATCTAGGTTTCGTATTAACGATTTTTCAATGATCGTTTCAACCCTTAGTACAAAGCGAACAACTGGTCATTCCAAATCTGTTGTCTCATTATGAAAGGTTTTCTAGAAAGCTTCTGCCGAAATATGGACGTTTAGACGCATGAGCAATTAGTGGAACATACTAAACTTGATTATGCACGTCACCCGGGCGAATATCGAGTGGAGACCCCGTCTTTCGCGGAGAAAAGTCAGTTTGAGGTCGGTAGTAAGCTTGTTGTGATTGCAGGTTTTAAAGCAAGTTTATCTTCCTAGGTCTGGCGAAGAAACGAGGAGAAACAGCACCTTATGCGGTGGGCGAAAACAAGCACTCGGACTGTTGGAGGACGAAAGATCTCCCACTTTCGATGTAGGAGAGCGATCCCATGTCCGAGTTATGCAATCTCACAAGGGTCAAAATCGAAGAAAACTGTGCTTTACTGCACCGCCTTTCTGAAGGTGTGGTTCATTTTTTGAAGTATACGAACGCTGCAATTTAGCTATACGAAGATTCTAGTGGAGGAGTTACTGTCAAGTTCTGTAGACAGCACTTCGGGCACGCAGAAGAGCCCGCCCTTCTCAGCACTGATAAAGATTCTGAGCGTCGCATCGTGGAATTGCTCAAGGAGGGTTTCACTGCTAACCAAATACTAAAAAAGATAAGGATAGAGTTCAAAAACAAGGAGAAAAATCGATTATACTACATTACTTCCAAGGACATAAGGTAAGAACTGCGCTGGGACTACGTGACGGATACTCCTTGAAAGCCTCCAGTGCATTCGTTTCAGAAACATTGCTACTCGCGACAACGTTGAACCAGGAAGAAAGCATGTTCTAGACTTGATATCCGTCGAAATAAGAGTGGGGGAGGGTTCTGAGGACGACGGGATTCGACTTTATATACCTGCCAAAGAAGAAAGTGGCGACGGCTTTTTGCTAAGTATGAGCTTCGTTAGAGAACTAAACTTTTTCCTGCTCCTCTCATAAATGTTACCTTCAGTAGTAATAACTCCGGTGCAGAAATCATGGTTAACTAAATATTCTCGGCGTGGGATTTCTGTCGATGACACGTGTAACCTTACAAAATATTGTTTAAAGATTGGCTACTGTCATTGTCGCCGATGAATGGGATATCGGTCTACCCGGAGCCTATCTCCTGTCCTACAGGTAGTTTGCCTTCTTACGGTCTAGTGTCTGTGACGGCAGTTTTGCTTTTTCAGAATGACCGAAGACGAAATATTCGAATTGTTTTCGATCATAAAGGGACTGATAGCCGACTTCGACCCTAAACTGTTTATGACGGATGACACGAACAGTTTTTTTGATGGATTTTTACGGGCCCTCCCAGAGTCGACTTCCGTGAAGCTACTTTGTTGCTTTCATGTCCTTCAGGCCATCAAGAGGAACTGCAGAGCCAAGCTTGTAGATGTGAGAAAAGATCAGAAGGGTGTTGTCAGCAGTCGTATTTCCCTCGTATCTTATATTAATAGCTATAGAATTAGGGATGTGAGCCTTACAGAAAAAACGTACTGGAATGGTAATAAAAAAATTCGTTCGCTTTGCCGCTCAGCTGATCATGACGATTTCAACCAGAAACATTCGGCGTTCCTCACTTATCTGAAGCAGCTTGGGGCGAACCATATGTTTTCATATATGGAGGAGGACTGGTATCTATTGCTATCAGTTCTTGAAGGGTTTCTGTGTAAAAGAAATTCAGGAGCCGTCGTGTTAATCAGTGGGGTGGTTTTTCGCGACTCAATGCATGTACGAACACCTCCATGCTTGGAGAACGCTTCCATAAACGTTTAAAACATGAACTACCGGATTCAAAACCAAATATGCGACTTGATCGGCTCCTAGAGATACTTATATCTCTTCCTACAGAAATGGATGAAGATCGACGCATTAAGGTACTTCGTGAGATTCTCCGTTCATTCAATGCCGTCTTGAAAGTCTTCTCCCTACAGATGGAGAGAGGACTTATCGGAGGACGATACCGTCTATCACCATCGCCAGCACGACGCCGCCGTTGAATGGTTCAGGAAGAGACAACAAGACGTGCAAGTGGTGGGAACTGGCCGGAAAGTTGTTGAAGGTGGAGCAACGCACAGCGTCCAGCAAATTACTTGTCCTTGTGACTCCAAGGTTATTGTTGCTAGAGTCTGCTTCGAATTACAGTTCTTGTTATGTTGCTCGCTCATTCCAGTTGAACAATCACTGCATCAAAGGCGCTTGCGGAGCATGTGCGTACGGTTTTCCGCTGTGATTGTGAGAAGGATATACAGTCAGGAATCTCCTGTCTTCATGTACATGCATGCCTCATTTACGCTCTTTCAGGTGAGGCATTTTGCTTAAAGGCAAAAGTCGGGCTCAATAAGGGGGTATTATGGCGATTGAAACTGAGTATAGAGATGCGAAGTGGAACGACAGTGGAGAAAAAACTGAGAAAAACCGTCGACAAGGCCGTTAACAAAACCCTCTTTCCCACTAGCAGTGAAGGAGGCTGGCTTGGGGAAAGAGGCACGTACAAACAAGTTTTCTGAGATGTCAGTCGTTCTATCGGTTGATACGGCAATCAACCTAGCTGATTCACACGTTATGCCAGCCACGCACCACTTCCGGAGGTGGGCGGTCCCGGATTGACGAGGCGGTCCCGGATTGAAACCGACGGCCCCGGGGCTTAACGACGTTTTTCAAGGTGGGAAGTTGCTGCAATGTGTGCAGCTACCCACATACAACCTCCAGGCACGGGAATTACTTCTCTAGCGTGCCTGAGCCCGACCTTTGCCTTTAAGTAGAAGAGGTAATTCGGCGGTTCCTACATGCCACGCTTTAGAGGTAGAATCTCAGTCGAAACCCAGAGCCAAGTCGAAGATTTTGAATGCGTCGAGTTTATCGCGAAACCTTCGGAAACTTGCAATATTGAAGGCCATTTGTCAAAAACTGATATTCTGGATTCAAATAACAATTTCGTTCACGAAATTGAATCGGTAGGGTCATTTCCAAAACGTAAACTTGTACATGGAACTATATCAATAGTTTCATTTTAGAACTACGCGGTAATCCGTTGCAATATTTTGAAAATATCCAAGATACCTGATGAGGAGGTGAATCACTGCCTCGAGGAAGTTCTTGATTCAATGCGGTCTCTTCGATGTCGAACTGATGACACTGTGCTCTCGAAATGTGCAAAAAAGAAACAGACGCAAGTAACACAAATAGTTAGGCGTGCTGACCTCCCACTAAGTGGCCGATTGTGTCGAAATCCACCGATTCGGAAACTTTTACCGGCTGGTCAATTCATAATTTTGGTTGAAAGCGAACAATTTGACAAATATCATTATGAGGTCTCAGAAAAGGAAAGGAGGCAACCGAAAGGAACCATCTCCAGTGCCTTTGTATGCACCAGAAGAGGAATCATGGGTGTTTTGGCTCTTTTCCTTGAGAGCCACTTATTTTCTCACTTACATAGTATTTTTGCAGAGTATGGATTGTGAAGGCGGTCATTTTTTCTTTGAGGAGATGAGTCGCATTTCCAGGTGCGTCGAAACGCCAAATCTTGAAGAAGTGCTATAGAGCTAGCATTCATCATTATCTTTTTAGATGTGGAACCTTCCCCACTAGTGCAGTATTGTTCAAAGTGTCAACAGTCTCAAATGTCATGGTTGCGCTGCTCGGTGGAACATCATTTACATTCAATCCGTGTTCAATCAAATCATTGTTTCATGTATGAAGTGTCTATTCCGCACTTTTACCTGTACGTCAAACTAGTATCGAGCTTTGTGGCTTTTATGTGTAACCTTCGTGTTATGTTGTGCCAATTTGCCGTCGAAGACATGGTATTCGACATATTTCTGCTATTTTCGTCATAAACCAAACTTTTGTTAGTGGGAACGAGCTTGTTTGGAAATGAAATCATGTTTAAGAAAGGTTGTACAAATTGTGAACATTGAATCATTTCATCACCCGAAAGATTTGCATTTTGTGGAGCTTGTCATCACTTCTGGTGTTTGGTCTGCACTCGACGCGGCTCTGGTTCTCGGAAATAGAGGGTTCCCTCCTCCTTACGATCATTATCGTATGGACTGGTGAATGTTGTGCGGCCGTAATGAAAACAGAATCTATGATTAAATATTCAAAAACTAAATTCGTTGAGTAGTCGGGCGGCTTCCCTTTTTCTGCGGGTGTTCTGTGGTAAAGTTGCGAAAGGTTATCCAATTTTGAGAGCGATTATTCTTTTCTTATGCTTTCCTTGTTCTTTCTTACCCATTATGAGTCCAGCTTGATTGGGCAGCGTAGGTTTTCAGAGGGAAATCTCCATATCGATTTATTAGAAAAACGTCCATTGGGGCTTTCTATACGACGGTTACAATTTTTGAGAGCTACTCATTTGTGAGACTCTGCACAGGAGTATTAATGTAGGCTAGCGGCAGACAGTACATTGTATAAGAAGTACTGCCATGAGAGTGCTAGAGACTGTAAAATGTGAACAGTGCTGTCTGGACGAAAAGTGGAAAGCTCGTTTAAAAAAAGTGTAACATCTCAATTAAGCACTCGTTTTTCCCTAAATACTTCATTTTTTTGGTATCATTGTTCAGGGGGGGGGGTTCCAGCGGAGCAGACTGCTCTGCTCCGTGAGAGCCCACGCTGCGCAATTCGAACTAGACAAGCCTCTTGCGCCTGCCTCACACTGAAAGATTCCGAAAAGTCTCCATAATATGCTTAGACGATGATGACTACAGAGAACAATTTAGCGCCAACGTGAAATACAGTAGAAGGAGAAGAGGAGAAGAAGGAACTCAATCAGACGTCGAGCCGAGTGCAAAGTATGCGCGGACGCGCATGTCACGTCAGGGTTACGGTAGCCCATCGGCTAGGTGCTGAGGCTAGATTCTTGTAACCCATAGCAATGCCTAATCAGACTTTGAGATATGGGGTACATAGAAAAGATCGCATCCAAAATGCCGCCGTCAAGGCTCTAGTTTGCTTATGGTTAGCCTCATTGCCACTGGTATAAGTAATGGAAACGAACTTCCAAACTTGCACGGCTATTTGACAAATCTCTTCGTAAGAGTTAAGGCCACCTCGGAAACTGCAATTGCAATTATGTACAATCATATGGCATGAAAAAGAGCTCAATTTAGTGGGGTTATTGTCATGTGGTGCCGTTGCTGATCTGGATAAGCTATCGCCATACTTTTTGAGCTCGACTAGATTGTAAGGAACAACATTTTGAAGAATATAATAAATTCGCATGGGTACTGGACCTCAATTCTACTAGGCCTACTAATCCCGCTGAAACCTGATCTTAGGTTCCCATTTGAACACGAGAGAATGGACGTTACACTCTCAGAATGGGATGGAAACATCGTAATCGTTCGTGCATTTGTAATTGTAATATAATGTAATATGTAATATTAAATTTTCTGTTCGAATAATTTCTTAAAGACACACTGAAATGAAAATTTTCGGGCATTCATTAGTGGCTGTATCATTATGGTTAGCAGCATAAATATTGAAAAACATGAAAGAGAGCTCATCTTGCCTTGGAAATGTTTCATCGAAGATGGGATAATCCATGAACGACAGGGGTACCACTGAAATAAACAGGGGTTAGATGAGACCAACCTTCCTTGAGAACATCTATCCCAAACAACAACCCTGGTAGGTTACACTACATCTTTTCCGTTTTTCTGCACGCCGATGCACGCCTTCACTCCTTCAGGGCACCTCGTGGCTTTCATCTCTTCCCGCATTTTTCAACGCTTTGTATTCACACCAACAACACTGCTCTACATAAACAATGCTACTCCCACCTATGTATTTCACTAAGCTTGTATTGAGAAATAATATTATTGAAAAAGCTTAAGAGTGGTGTGACACATACAAATATGTACATTAACAGTACGTTACAATTCGAAAAGGCAACTTTATTTGCCACGTGTTTTGAAAGAAGATGCTTCCACCGCATGTTTTTCCGCCAATATCCAACCACGACCTCCTCGTTGAGCTTTGCGCAATGGGCGGTTGACCCTGTCTGCAGGTTGTTGTTCACTTGGTATCGAAAATCGTGACGGAGAGATACCGTGGCACATACGCACATACCGACTCAGCTTTTTGTATATAGTAGGGATAAGGATTGTGAAGTGATAATTTGGACGGGCGGAAGTGGTGTAGTGGCAAGTGGCACGCTTACCACGCGAGCGGTCCGGGGATCAAATCCTGGGTCGTGAGTCGCCCGGGCCAACCAAGCCTTCCATCCCTCGGGGTCGGTTAATTGGTACCAGACTTGTCTGGGAGGATAAAAACACTGACTTGTACATCGGCTGGCCCCCGCAAGTCATTGTATAGGCCACATCGCATTCAAACGCCACTACGAATGTACAAATGGAAGTAGAATGCGTGCCGCATCCCAAAAAGGGATTGATCAACGGCAAATGCTTTATCCTTTATCCTTTTAATTTGGACGCTTATTCTCAGATTCAGTAATTGTTTTACATCTTTCAAAATTGCTCAGTTTTTTGGGAGGTTTAGCCGAAAATCTTTGTTACCAGTCCAAACACCATTCCGCTTAGAATACTGTACAAGACATAACGCCTTCGCCGCAGAGTGTAATTTTTTTCAGATTAGCTTATTTTACAAGGCCTTACCAGAAAGTGACACGGATCTCTTTCACTGAGGGTCCTCTCTCACTGAAAGATCTCGAGCCGGTTGGTGGCGAGGCTACGTGGCGCGACCCCAGGTGGCGGATAGGGGGTAAATCGCGGACCAAAAGCCACCATGTACTTGCCCTGAGACGCAGGTGGATTCAGGGGATGGACTCCCTGTTTCTGTAGTGCTGTGTCGATTCATACCAGCTTCCATACAGGTGTATCCATGCATGCTTGCGTGTGTGGTGCGCTCTGTGTGTGAGCGGTTGGTATCTAGCATACAGCCAAAATTCTCAGTACGGGAATACTGGAGCATTCGGCCGCTCTAAAAGTACACCTCTGTTGCTAGATAGGTGGCTACAAATGAGTCTATCCAGCCGGCATACAGAGCCTGGAAGCACGTGTGCTCATATATCGACACAGCAACATTACGCTCATTCCCCTGAACCTGAGGGAGCTCCCAATACGGCAGCGTTGGGTAGGACCGCTCGGGAGAGGCTGCTAGAATCTCAGGCGGATAGGCTGCCTAAAAGAAGAAGGACTAAGATGGCGATCTGTACTTTCAACGCAAGGACGCTTGCATCCGAAGCTCACATCGAAGTCCTGATACAGGGCAGGGAAGATCAAGTACGTGCGTACTGCACTGATCAGACTAAAGGCACCACCCCTAACCCGTCTTTCGATACTGGAGAAGAACTGTTTCTTGGAACATGCGACAGCAGAGGCGTTGGCGGTGTGGGTGTCCTCGTCAACACGCACTTGGCCATAAACATCGATTCGTACGAAAGCCTTACGACACGAATCGGACGTTTGAGATTGAGAAGATAACCCTGCTGAATACTTCGCGTCTAGCCCACATAGAGTACGACAATGAACACTAGAGCATTTTATATGGAATTGGAGAAGTTCTACAAGGAAGATCATACCTTCTTCAAGGTCATCGTCGGCGACTTCAACGCCAAGATTGGCCCGAGAAGAACGGCTGAAGAACTTCACATCGGTACTCACGGATTGGATTGGAATGAGCAGGTGAGAGCTGTCGACTTTATCATTTCGCCAACACCAAATTGGAGTCACAGTTCCAGACCCTACAGTTGTTGATTGGGATAACTGAAGGCAGTTCCAACCGAATAGACACATATCTCTAATGAAGTTGCCTGACCGATCATCGTGTTTGTTCCGATTTCACACGGTGATCGAACCATGTTCTCCTCCGCGTCAAAGTTCACTTTCGACGGGTTGCAAGACATCGAATTTCAGTGAAGCTAATCCGCGACGCATAACTGGGACCATTTCCTTTTTCACTCATTGGATTCCGTATCAAAACATCCTGACTAGGATATCCATCGGCTGAGTTAACACCTTCAGAGAGGGCAGAAGGCAAGTGCATCACCAAGGACTCTCTATGGAACTATCGACTGATTCGTCACGTGATCCGTAACTAGTGCAGGCAATCACAGACTCACGCAGAGCTTGCGAAACTTATGCAGTAAGTACATAAAGAATGCTCACAAGAGCGAAGACAGGGAAGTTTAGCTGAGCAGAGAGGCTTGAGGGCCCTGAAGTGACGCCGCTTCGCCCGCTACAGCAGAAGCCATCCGGATGGGGAAACGTTTACGCATCTGAAAGCATGAGAAGTCGACCCGTCTCTACTCGATTCTTCGATAGCCATGTCCTCGCCACTTATAACCCAAAGCAGGATCATAGTCGTTCCTCAGTCTATCTCGAAGTCTGGATACGCCATCAGTCGGTGACAACGATACACACTCGGTTCACAGGTCAAACCGACATATCTGAATGAACGCCGGCCAGTTATATGAACTCTGGTTTCTCGACTTCTTCGGTGCGTCTACCTGTCGGAATGCAAGTACCCACTCCGGGAAAACCTAGTAGACTGTTGCGTAACAGAAGAACTGAATTAGCTTATGCCATCTGCTGTCTTTAATCTGTAAGCTATTCACTCGAGTCATCCTCAACAGGATCGTCAGAATACTTGATGAAGGACAGCCATGCGAGCAAGCAGGGTTTCGAAGAGGGTTAAGCACGATCGACCATATCCACACGGTTAGAACTCAGTTTCAGCGGAGTAAAAAATCGCTTTGTTCCACACTTCTCGAATTGAATAAGCGGTTCGACGTGCATCGAACATGGCTAACCAGGGCGTCGACTCGGTACTGGATTCCTCAGAGTCTACAGCAACTTCCGCAGATCTCACATTTACAAGAGTTCATCATCTGACGGTACAGAGAGGGTCGAAGGCGACACATCTCGCCAATGACTCTTCACGCCCTATCGAGAATGTCATCTCACTGGAAGGAAACATGGATTGAAGCCGACGCCGTACTACATCACCTTCGTTTTGCTGACGACATCGTTCTTATAACGCCGAACATCGAGCAAGCGGAGCGAATGCTGGCTGATTTCGACTGCGCCTGGTCGGTCTGCAGCTGAACTTAACGAAGACGATGTTTATGAGAAACGGATTGGTTCATGTGCCATTAGCTTCACGACGCATCACCGAATGCTATAGCTAGTTCCTAGTGGGAAATTCAACATGTGACGATCTCCACTGACGGGATGGAACAGCGTGGGCGACATAACATCGAGGGAGTAGGTGAGGAACGAAGCAATCGCTCGTGCCCCCTCTCAATTCCTGTCCTTCTCCCATAACCTACGCTCAGAGCCTTGGCTGCGAGCGGAGAGCATCGGTAGGTTATCCAAGCGCTGTCGAAGACGATGCAGGAGTACCCTACAGACCAAGTGCGAGAGGGATCGCGAATTGCGAATACCCACGATCGAAATCAGTGCGTGCTTTCAAAGGAATCGAAGATAAGGTGGGCCGGACACGTCATGCGATTTTGCGATGACCGTTGGACCAGAGCGGTTACCGACTGGATCCCTCGGGACGTCAAACGAACACCTGGACGACCGCCGGCCCGATGGTCAGACTTCTTCACGAAAGCTCTGAACGAAAGGAATGAAGAACATCGTGTCCCTCGAGCGAGGAGGGTCCACTGGACAACTCTTGCACGCGACAGGGACGAATGGAGACGTTGCTGGCGCCCGCTCGAGCAATTCGATGATCAACGGGACGACAGGTGATACAGGTGATACCAGAAAGTGTTTCAAGTCCCCATGGAGCTTTGAATTGAGACCAAGGTAAATAGATAGAGCCTAGAATGCTGGTTACAAATATGAAAAGCAAAACTGCTACGCGAACTTGCCGAGGAAATTGTGAGCGATCAAAGTTGGCTGTTAATGCAGCGTTGGTATAATGATATTTGATAAAAGCCTACTTGCAAGGGATTCTGATGCCCCTGATTACGAAGATGACATCTATTCCTTGGCGCAGACGCCATTTGGCACCAATCTGGAAGCGCCAACCTAGAATGCAAAATTTGTCACCACGGAGAATCGAACTTGGAACCACTTTGATTAGTAATAACTTCCTTGACTGGTGACGTAGAGGCTTTACTCTTCATATTTGTAACCATCATCAAAGGCACTATCGATTAGCTCAGGTTTCAATTCAAAGTTCCATGGTGAAACGTCTCTAGTTTGCGTGTTTGTCGCGCACTTCTGAGCGGTGGCGTGCACATTTGCAATCTTGCAATCGTGTGTTGTTTTAGGACTGGTCAATCCAAGCTCGTCGTGGGGTTCAATTTGAGTGGAGAGTACTAAATAGTACCTGCGAAACATTTTGAAATTTGAGCAAGATTCATAAGCCGGGACGTGACTGGAGTAAAAGCCAGAAAGCCAGAAGATCCCCTGTCTTTGGTAGTATAACAAAATTTTATTGGCTGACAAAATGCTGCGCCATCCTTTATAAAGGCCTGCTGAGATCGGCGGCCGAAGTTTGGCCCTGCGGCGTGAAGTAGTCAAATGCTAAAAAAGTCTTGCACGTGTCTGCCAAATTCCAGCGTCGTCCCGTAGCATAACATAATTTCTTTGTCTAACAAAATCCTGCGCCATCCTTTGTGAAGGCCTGATGAGGTCAGAGCCTTAATTTGGCCCTGCGGCTCTGAAGTAGTCTAGTGGAGACCTGCTCAACCAGTCCTGCACGTGTCTTTCAAATTCCAGCGTCGTCCCGTCCTGTGGCCAGGCACAGCCGATGAGAAGCAGGTCGGAAACCAAGAAATTCAGAAAAAATACAGGGCTGTGTAAAGCCCACTGCCACTGAGGTGAAATGGAATGCAAACTCTTGCAACAAACGTGAGAAGTGTATCTCGCTTTTGCAGATACACTAACAGAAGAGACTATGGGCTGTAAGATCGACAACAGCGACGGAGACAAGTTTTTTTTTCGCATGCAAACACGCAAAAGCTCATCAAAACTGCTCAAGTGATCTAAATTGATTGATGAGCTCCTTGCAGCTCGTCTGAAAAATGATAAGGAAGTATTATTGGGAAGTATTGTTATTAGTATCAAAATGGAAATCTCATCGTCAGATGCGAATTGCATAGGACCGCACCCTTAGGAGTTTCACCTGTCTCTCCATTCCCCTTCTTCGACTTTCGTCCATCTCGTGTAATCCTCCTTTACCCAAGAACTGTAGTTATGTTGTAGTCTGCAATTCCTTCCATGTTATAGCCAGGATGAAAGAGGGAACGTGTTCAACAAACAACGAAACCTCTTCGCTGCCCATTACCATCGGTCTAGCAGTGGCTGGCCAGTATATTCCGTAGTACAGATCTGCCAAAGCACTTAATGGTACCCTCTGATTACGGTCGACAGCCCGAAGAGAAGATAGCTGACTGCTGGGCGCTATCTCTTTCAAGGTGCATTGTTTATATATTTAAATCTTTTGCCTATTTGCTGTATTTATTGTACCCGTTTATGTCACACACATCAGCAGGTAGAACTCCAATAAATCTTTCTCGTGGTCAATAGTTAGCTGTCGATTTCGTTCAGCGAAATTATATGTTACTGTTGCCGAACTCAGCCCAGAGTTTACACCGGGGTACGCGTAGATTGGCACATCTGGCGAACAAGAAGAAATCCCGTGAGAGTCGTGAAAAGACATTAGACCAGCAAGAGTGATTCCATGATGGCCACCAACATGAGCCACGTGACCAAGCTCTCGACTAACTGAGGCGTACACTAGTACTAAGAGGTTTTACTGTTTTGAGGACTGCAATATTTTCTCAAAACTGTAAAGAAAAACAAATGCCTTAGGGTCTAATACGAAACCTACTTAGATGATTCAAGCTGGATCTGTATTGGGCATTGATTTGGTACCCCACATAGCTGAACTTCTTCAACACTTTCTTCACATCACTGAATTTTACGAGTCTCATAAATTTTTCCTCCTTCTCCATGTGAATAATTCTTTCCACCATTACCAAAAATGGTAGTTCGGGAAGCGCAGTGTACTGAAACACTCCTTTTATAACAAAATCCCTATCACTCTAAAGTGTGCATCGCACCCTAGCGAATTCCTTGTCTAGAGAAGAATCATCGTAAAATAAACCATCATCAAGGAGACTCCAACCGATTCTGTCCACCTTTTCCAAAACAGCCTGCAAAATACGAGATGCACCGGAGCAAATAACGCTTCAAGCCTGTGCCTTTCTTCGTGTTGCCGTTTTGGTCCTATAGGGGTCGTGCAAGTGTCGAGGGATCCCTAACGAAAAGGACGTGTTTGATCTGGTGGTTGGGAGGTTGGGCTACTAATTGTAAGGGCCGAGAACAGCCATTGCTCGTTGTTGGCGAGAGGTTGAGAGCCGCAAATGGCACTGTATGTCGCTTGATGTCGAGCGTTCGGCGCGTCCCTGAGAGAGAAAGCGATCAATGCTACGCGCTTTAATTTGTGTCCTTACGAAGGAGGTGTTTTTTTAGAGAAACTTCAAGAGGTCTCGAAGATACTACGCAAAATTTTGTAGAGTAATCCCTTGACTATCAGGTTGTTCCAAGTATTAGGCGTTTCAGAAAGTTCTGTCGTTTTTCGACCTCGAATTTCAAATGCATGTATCTCGGCTTAAAACCAAACCTTTCCGGTTGAAATAAAAATCGTTTGAATGCGCTAACCTTCCGCTATAAGAGACGTTTCAGTGGTACCTTTGTTCAGAATGCTGGAGCCCTGAGGCGCTGAAGCTGGGACAGTCGTTTTAGCGTGGGGTTGTGTTTTGAAGCACTTCTCTTCAAGGGAACTATCGGAGCCCACAAAAAAGTGATATTTGATAGCCAGAGGTGTAGTGAGTAGAACATCTACAGCACTCCTTTTTAGCCTAGCTGGACCAACTTGGCAGGGTTGGTTGTGCGACGTGTAGGACAACTGTCAGAGATGTGTCCGTCCCTTTATAATAAGAAATGCTGAACCCGTATTTTGAAGATGGCCGACATGACATACAGTAAGAGTTTTCCTCACACTGAACAACTCCACCTGATAGGGGAACTTAGGCCAGCTGCTGACACTTGATAAAGTTTCCATGGCCCTCCCTTTAACAACAGGTTTAGTTGAAAATTTAATCTGATCCTGTCGAGACATCAGCAAACTTCGTGCTGGTAGGAACTAAGTCCTTCTTCCAACTACAATAGTCAAAAGGCGAGTGATCACTCACATTAAAAACAAAGTAGAAAATGAGGGAAGACCAATCCGATTGGTGGCCTTTATCACGGCACGCCCACTATCAACATATATTCTAACTCACTGTCCTAATAACTTCTTCACAACAAACCATATACGTCCGGGTTGTCAGGAACCTCTTCAATGGTCCTACGCAGGGGTGCCTTCATCAGAACTTCTGGTTAGTCGGTGGCAAAATCCGGTGTCCGGCCACCGCTACTACCGTACTCAAGGCTCTCGCTTTTGAGGCAATAATTTTGATACACGGCTCTAGATAAGAACCCATCTATGCAACAAGCCAAAGTGCATCGTTAATATTTGAACTGTTCCCGCTACTTCAAAGTCTATTCAAAGCAAGAAAAGAAAGTCATGCCAACCTTGCTCATCGAATATACCACATTCAAAGCTCTGGAAAAATTGTAAGAAAATGTTTTAAACAAAGCTGAGCTAAACGTTGGATAGAGCAGAGGAAGCTCTTCAAGATGGTATCCACACATATGGCAGTTTCTCTAGATTCAAGCAAAATGAACATCCAAATGTGGGTGTCAGAAAACGACAGAACCTTCTGAAACCCCTAATACCTATACACTGCGTTTCATAAATATAGGTCCACCCTAAATTTTTGCTATTCCAAAGTTGCGTGCATTTTTGGGAAATGCCGCTATTACCAATAGTTTCCCCATAACGAAAAACCTTGATACTCGATTTCTGGAGAAATCTCGATTCAGAATTATTAAATATCTTCTTCAGAACGTATTTTCACCGTTTCGCAAATATGACTACACATCACTTGTCGAGAGATTTTTAACTCAAATTAGCTATTACAGTAGGATCGAAATTTCTGGCGCCGATGATCGACCTTTTCAGCTTTTCGGCTGTTCCATTTTGCTTTACTTTGCTGTGGAACTTTATAACAATTAAGGCCCAATGATTCTCTATTGGAATCTAATTCAGATAACATGGTGGCCACCAGATAACTGCCACATTTTTTCCTGCATCTTCCTGCGGGCTCTAACCGCTCAGTTGTTCAAAAGTGCCTCAAACCGGTAGGGATTCTTCGTCAAAATTAAGTTACATTAAAACCATCTGCGATTTACGGACTCTTCCTGTACGCTCGCTTTTCTAGCAGCTCTACTAGAAAAACTTCCCACGCGATCCCGAATCAACCTTCAACATGAAACAAGGAGGAAGAGCCCAAGATCGTGAATGGTCTTAGCAGCCATATCTTCGTTCAATTAGTGGAGCCATTTTCCACGTCGAAAAGGAGACATGCGATCATGATCTTGCAACGCACTTCATAAATACCCCTGACATATTCTCGCTGTAACTGGTTAACCCTACCACACATATATTTCTCACGAAACAGCCGGTCATTTCCAGCACAAGCTTTATTCACCTGCTTGGACATAGTCGGTCAAAGCGTCCAATCCTCTGCAATCTAGACTAAATAGCCTTTCTCGACCATTGAGACATCCTTTGACTGACAGATTCACACATGGTTGCCTTTAGTCAGTATGAGCCGGCCAACATGGACACAGTTCGCTCTCGCCACCGATACTTCAGGAGTGCTCTGACTTGAGCTTGTTACGAAGACAAACGATAACACGAGATGTATATAATTCGACGACGATCCGAGCGCACAATATGTCCCGCTTCTTCCGCTCCTCTTCACGGAGAAATGGAAACTTTTTATGAGTGGCCCGATATTCATGAAACGGTGAAAATTCGTTCTGAAAAAGTTAATTGGGTTACTTGAGGGGGAACTTTGTCAGAAAAACACTATGAAGGTTTTCCGTGATGAGGAATCTAACGGTGATAGCAGCATTTCCAAAAAATGCACAGCAACTTTGGGGTAGCAAAAATTTAGGGTGAACCTAATAATTATAACGCGTTAGTCTTCTCTCACCGTCCGATCAAGGGATCATGATTGACGTGCCTCGTGCACTTGACAGAATTCGTGTGTATTATCTGCTTCCAATAACGCGTTGGATATGAAAGGCATGCTGGAAGCGGCGTTTCATACAACTTCATATCAAATGCGGCGGTCGCGACGTCAAGTCCATAGACACACCTAATCGGACTTTGAAATACTGGACTGTAGTGTCGGATGCTAAATTTCTCCTAGATTCCATTCTAACCAGTGCTAAACATAATTCGCAGAGCATGTCGCACATTATCAAATTAATACACCCTTTCCTTTCATTGTGAATTATGATAACAGTTCAAATAAGATCTCTTCTGCTTCTCCCTAAGTTAGCATTAGTTTCGCTCCCCCGTCTCTGCGCTTGCCTTGCGTTTCGGACTACATCGCTTTCTTTGTTGGGTGATTCTGCGGCCTCTGTGGACGTGCCCATACAATCGCGGGCGTCAATCTTGCATATTTAGTTGACCACGAGCAGGCTGCTTGACCGCTGTGACATCCTTTCTTTCCCTGTTGAGGCCCAGCCACAGCCCCACCTCAGCATCCTCATTTCAGCGGAACCTGCCGTTCGTAAATTTTATTCGGGGCTAACACTCGCTGTCGTGTAGCATTCAGACCCATCACTATTCTGGTACACCTTCATTTTGAGCGTTCTGGAGCACCTTCGATCGCAGAGGATTCCAGTGGACTCCCTCCATTTCATCCATGCAGCGTTGACCGAGCCTTCACCGCCTGATCCACACTACCGTCGGCTGCCAGATCGCTCCCAAGGTAGCGGAAGTCCTCCACTCTTTCGATGGTCTCACCATGGCCGTCCATCGGCTCTACCCTCTTCGGAGCTCAGGAACTTGGTCTTCTTGACATTCAGCCGGAGCCCACCTTCTGCCAGGACTTCTGCCATTTCTGCACCTTGGCTTGAAGTTCCTCTCTGCTATCCGCTATCAGGCGATGTCGTCAGCGTAGAGGATGGTCTTCAGTGGTCCTCCATGAGCCCCTTCACCAGGACATCTAGTGTTAGGAGGAAGAGGAACGGGCTCAGAGCTGACCCTTGGTGCACCCCAACCGTGATGTCCACTCCTTTGTCAGGCCGTGCGGGATGCATACTGCGTGAGCTCCATAGCACATACGACTCACCGTAAAGATTCGGTGTTCAAGCACATTCCTCCCTCTGAGTGGACATTCGTTGTGGACCTTTCAAGCATAAATCGGAACTGTTCCTGAGGAGATGAGGACCAGCTCCCGCAGTTCGAGTCGACCAGTCGCTCGTACAGCTTCATTGTATGAGCAGTCAACTTGATCCCGCGGTAGTTGGAGCAGTCCATCGCGTCACCCTTCTGCTTGAAGATGGGGACGATAGTACTTGTTCTCCAGGCATCCGGCATCCTTCCTTCCGTTTACCTTGTTCAGGAAGCTGGTGAGCCACCTTATGCCGTACTCTCCGAGCGCCTTCCATGCCTCGATTGGCACCCCATCTGGAGCAAAGACTTCGTCAACCTTCATCTTCTCTACATACTTCTACCCCGAATCTCAACTTTCACGGTGAGATTGGGCCAGCCGTTGCCTCTGCTAGTGGAGTGTCCTTGTGGGAAAGCCTCTTGCTCGGACATGCACTGTAGTATATTCCCACCTCCCTTTGACTTCAGCTGACCTCTTTAGGATGGTGCCGTTGCTACTTTTAAGACCCTGATATCATGAGTAAATCTGTGCCGAGTTTTATTTAGCCTGAAGACGAATTCTTCCGCGTTTCTGCGTTTCATCACCTCATACAAGGCGTCCTTTCAGTGTGCTTTGTCTGTGACGGTGCCTTAACCTCTTGCAACTTTTGTAGACAGCGAGGTCCTCAGGGCTTCGTGTTCCACAAAAATCAAAGAAGGCACGACTCGCTCGAGTTTGAACTTTAGCAGTCAGAACTCGTGAAATGTTTGAGTAAACTACTGCTGCTTGTTTATTTGTTAGCACACTGTAACGTCTTTTCATCATAGGCAAATATGATGGATGGTCATTCGAAGGAATCATAGTAAGTCAACTTGAAAGACGATGCCAGATCGTGTTTGGAGCTAATTCGGAATCAAGGCATATGAGACCCAAACACTGTACCGGATCTCTCAAGTTCTCGAAGATTCTCAGTAGTGTCACCTTGTAGCATGAAAATTGAAAATTGACAAATGTTCGATGGTTAATCCAGATTCCTTTCGGAAAGGTCAGATAGAGCATCGTGATTGCCAGTCACAGGGTGGTTGGAGTGTGGATCATCTTCAAATAAAAAGTCAACGCTGAGCAGAGTGAAGCGCCGGTGCACCGTGAATTGAGAGAGCGTGCCCTCGCCCATCTTCTGGCTAATCCTTGGTGTAGCATGACTTGCGGAACATTCCAAGCAGTACTCGTAAAAATTAAGGGCACGAAGAGCTTTGCGAAATTGGTGTAATATCCACAACAAGTAGCGAGACAACGAGCTGGACGGTTGGCTGAAAAAAAGGTGGTGCTACGTCAACAAGCATGTTGCGGAATTTTCGAAGTTCTCAAGAAAATCTTCATGCATCGAATGTAAATGATGCATGAATTATGAACCGGCGTAATTCAAAGTACATATCACTAAATTCTAGAAATACTAAGGACATTACTTCTTTCTCAAGATATCTCGTGTGATTTTGCTGATAAACTGAAGCTGGTCATGTATTTTACCCAAAACATGCAACCGAATATGCAGAATCTAAACTGGTTCCAAGAACAAATCCAAAAGTGCGGTTCAATCTCAAAATCGATCGATGGGAATGTATGGGAAACCCACTTCTTTAAATTCAGTGCTCATCCATTCGTTTACCTTTATTTCCTCTTTGAGTGCTCTAGCGATTGCTTCAGCCATTTCTTCCGCCAATGGCCTCAAAACCTTAAAAAAACCAGACTCTGATGTCGTTCTTGCAGCCTCTTTATCCTTAAAAGAGTACTGGTGCCTCGTCAACTGCTCCTAACTCATCGCTCTGCAGGTACAATGTATGTAACAGGTGTCTGTGAATTGCCTCAACATATTTTACTCTCCTTGATGGGCTTCAACATCTCTAGCCGCGGGCCACCGTTCAGCACTATGATCTGCTTGTGTAACGATTCTATAGGACCTCCGATTGAGGCTTTCGGGTAGTATTTCTCAGTCGCATGGAAGGCCATTCATCAAGCACATTTGAAACTGCTACTCTTATGTGTAAGCTGACTTCAAAAAAAGAATTCCGTGTGACACATTTACGACAGTGAGACGCGCAGCCGCGTTCTAGCGCGTGCACGGCTTTCTCCCAGGTTGTTCGCAGTTGTTCTATTGATCGCACCGTAACGTAGGTGCGACAGGTTGGTTCATTCCTCGTTTTCTTGCTGTTCTTATGAGCGTGTCAATAGGAACGTGTAGAAGAGGTAAATACATTGAGAAGTAGATAAGAAGATGTATTCTTTATGAGCACAACCGCGTAAAAAGCATCTTCGACATTGATCAAAGGAAAAGGGCTAAAATTTGCTTTTTCATAACAATTACAAGTTCCTGTGAGCGGAATTACACCACACTAAACCGCAAACCTTCAACGCTTTGGATATTGCTGAAATGGTTTTGTGCCATTGGCGCTTTGTGATGTTACCACTCAAAAGGTGAGGCAGCTGCGCTAGCAAAACCACACCTATGCCATGTGGCCAAAAAGCCTAAACGCGCGCAGTCGTCAATGTGATAAATACGGTCGTTGATCTGAAACACTTGCACATTGGCGAAGGTGTGACCTCGCCATTGTCGATCTTAATGGAATCTCTCGCATCCGGGTAGGAGATCAAAGCGAACCTCATCAGATGATCTGACAGCGTTCGTACTTGAGGCACGGGTACGTTTATATTTTAGCTGGCAAGCATAGCGTTATCAGTCAGCATTGAGAATCTTCCAAACACCATGACTCAATAAAGAACGCGCACCCACTCTAAAAGCTCTTCAAGACGCTTTCGCAGATCGTAACTGCTTCACGAAGAACGCGATCAAAATGCTTCGCAAGCCTAGGAAACCAATGTGCACTATTCATCGCTTCTCGCGGCAAGGGAAAGTGTACGTATATCGTCGATGGTTCCGCTGCCAACCACGAAACCGCGCTGCATGATGGACACCAGAATAATGTCACGTCAACATTTCGTTTAAAGGTTCTCCTGCTGTGCGAGAGCAAGTTGGGCGCCTTTGTGCATTCGCAGGATCATTTCTTCTTCCAAATAGGGATAGTCGTACTCTGTTGCCAGCTCTCAAAGATCTTCTTTACAACAGCCTGATTAACGGCCTGATTTGAAAACAACTTCAACCACTCCGCAACATTCCATCACTGTGCTTCCATATCAGCACCTAATGCTTTTCCGGATCCCTTCCTAAAGACTGCTATAGTATCTTGTGCAGATATCCTCTAAACGAACCATGTGTCGGCGGAGCACAAAGAATGGCTAGGTCAACTGATATGTTTTCGAAGTATTCGTGCCATTGCTTCAATACATATTTTTCCTTGGAAAATGGCCATTCTTGTCACTAATGCCGAAAAGCTCTTTGTCTTTCCATAGCAGGTCTTGGCGACTCAGCAAAGATGCAGCTCACCATTGCACGTTTTGGGTTTCACACTGTCATTAGGAAAATAGTCGGCTATTGCGACAGCAACTTATTCTTTCGCTGGTAGCTCAGTCTGTTATCACTTAAAAAAAACCCAGAAAAAAGTCACAAAGAGGTACTTTCTCCTTTCGCATTTTTTTATGAAATTGTAAGTGCACAGCGATGTTTTGCGTCATCCACGCAGTGTATCGATTACACGATCCTTGAACGAAACTATTATGAGAGTTGTCACCGTCTTTCGCGAAGCCAACGTGCCTATCAAGATAACCTGCGACAACGATAGCTTCTTGGAATTTCGGGCCGTCTCCCATCGAGCAAATTCCTAACATGTCTCTGTTCTACTTAAAGCCCGTCCGCGGAGCATGCGCTAAAGAGATACGGTATTTTTGTTGTTCGACAGCGACAGTGACTTTGTAAGTCGGTCGTCAGAGCGTTCTACGCATACAACCAATCGGAAACCTTAAGAGACGATTACTACAGCATTGATGATCGTTCCTGCCCGACGAACGGCTTCGAGGTTACGGTAGATGGCCCCGGACTTGCAATTAGGCCTTGTCCCCACCCATCAGGTACGCTCTTATGCCCTAGCCAGCTCACAGTAGCGGGTTATTTTCAGCGTTGCATGCGCACTTTAATAC